CGGCCTTCGGAGACGGGCTGTTACTGGTGTGAAGTCGCAGATTCGTCTGAAATTCGCCCTTGTGCCAGCGAGACTGTTTTTTCTTCCTTTTCGAGTGAGCTCGCAGGTGCAGAGTTTTCTGCCATGTTCTGGAAACTGTGTTTTAAAACAAATGTGTTCATGACAGACTACCTGAAGCCTATTGCTGAAGAAGAGCGAAGAATAGAGGCTGAAGAGAAAAAGAAACGTGAGGAACTTGAGCGGATTGCAAAAGAGCTTGCAGAAGGTAGTCTCTCCATTTACGCGTCCCATGCCAGAGTACACACACTGGCTTGCCCGCGGACTGCCGTTTTACTGCAGTGTTTCTAGGAGAAATTCAGGCTTACAGCCAGTGGGCTGCAGACTCGTGCATCTGTGGAGCAGTGGTTAGGGTTATGTGAAGGGTAAACAGTGCTGTTGTGCAGCAAGCTCTTCGCAACATAAACATCACTAGAGAAAGAGTTAAAAACACTTTTGCAACCAAGCAGGACTTGTTAAGGTGTTATCTGAATTTCCCCTGAGAAAACTCTCTGCTTAACGCTGCTGAATATTCTGTGAGGAACAACTGGAACTGTAGACTAACTGTACTCAGATGTCCCTGTGCAGCTGGATGCAGCAAACCTGTGATCCCTTTTCCCCAGGCGATACAGAAGTCTCACAGATGTGGCTGATCAAAAACAAGCCATAGACAACTGCTTGTGATTGCAACTTGAACTTTTAAGTGGTACCACTAGTTTAGTATTAGAGATCGACTTCATTTGTCGTATCTCTTACATGAAAAGAATATGCTGAAGGTGGTCAGTTGGGATTATTACTGCTGCTTATTTTCTGATTCCCTTCCATCATATAGTGTTTCTGCTGCAGCATGCTTTTCCTCATCCTTAGGATTATTTCTTGTGTCTCCAATGTGTTTCTAACAGGATTTCCCCCTCCTTTACAGAGGACTGTGCTCTCTGGGTTGAATTCACCTAGATTTTTTAGGTGGACTTACAGTTAGGAAGAACTTTCAGAAAATTAATTAATAATCCAAGCTGGTTTTGGTGCAACTACATACGTCGTAACTATGTCCAAGGGAAGCAGTGACATTTGCATTGTTCTAAACAAGACTAACTTTAAACAAAACCGTGTAATCTTAACTACACATACATAAAAGAAAATATGCAAGTTGGTGAATTGTATTGCTTACTAGGTAGAAAGCTGTTTTGCAGAGCTGTTTTACTGTCTTAAATTTTAATCTTCATTGGTCATGGACTAAATAAATGGGTCTTTTCAATGTTTTCTGGTTTAGCTGAAGCTTTCTGTATTTTGGGAGATAAGAGGCCATACTATGGAGTTGCTACTCTACTTCAGAATGGGATTCTGTGATTATTTCTTTAGAATGTTTAATCTATTTAAAAGTGTAACACAGATGACTCATCTGCTTTCCCAACACTGGTTTTGTTGTGCTTTTCCAGTTAGAAAAGCAATTGTTAAAATTTCATCCAGTGCAATGCAGTTGTTAAAGATTGTTCTTTAAATATGGATAAATGGATGTACTGTAACAGCTTTTTCTGGGCTTATTTGAATTATCAGTTCAGAAAACTCATTTACTAATGAGTAAGCCAAAAAAATACCTTTACCCCAAAGCAATGAAATAAACTTCTGTTGAATAAGCACAAGTGGGAATCGTAAAAACTGGCTAGGAAGAAATTATAAACTTAAAGGTAGCTTTTGATCCCACTAATGTTTTGCATTTTTTAGTACTGCATGGAAGTTGACTAGTGGTCCTAACTATGTTTTTTCTTCTGTTTTTAGCAAGTGAAGAGTCCATACTGAAATGAACAAAAGATTGGATCTTATTTTCACACATGGAACTACGTGGCTAGGCTCTGAACTGTTCAGTGGTTGGTGAACTCTGCATGCTATTCTATGAATAAAGTACTTAGAACACTTCAGTTTGTGTTTGTTTGAGTGAATTGCACAGAACAGCAGAAGTACTTACAGAACGTGACAGGAAGCATTTGTGCAAGCTGGCCATTGCTGCAGCTGAAGCATCCCATTGCATTCCTCCAGCAACAGCCAGTCACTACATCTGTCACGGAAAATCCGGACAGAAACTCACTAGCACAATTTGCAGTGTTAGAAAATGGCATTGCTTTATTGCGGTGTTGGGTGCATGGGGAATATCTCCTCCTGGCATGGACACCTGGCCCCTGGACAGAAACTTAGTTACACACTGCAATCAGTGTGTTCATAACGTGTTGACATGTTCCTTGTTATTCTCTGAAAAAATTGGTTAATTTTCTCTCGCTTTAGATGTAAATTACTTCACATGCTCAGTTTTCTTCCGCCGCCCCTTTCTTTTGGGTCTGGGGTATGTTTAGGGGAGGTGGTCCATGAGTCGGTGGTCATGATGGCCCCCTGCTGGGATTACCTTTTCCCCAAGTCACTGCTGCACATGTTCACAGTTCAGAAAAACATGAGAACAAAGTTCATACCTTCTCTGGGATGTTCCCTTCAAGGGCAGACAGTTCTGGAAAAGAGCCTCCCTCCTAATCACTCCCAACAGCTTCAAGGATGCTCATCTTGTTATGTTCTTTAGTTGTGTGCAAACCATCTACTAAACCCTTCATGAAATTCTTACAAAAGTTTTAACCCCTTCATTGTTGGATAACAATTTCCCCCTTTGAGACTTACCAATTTTAGATGAGTCTCACCTTTTGTGGCTTTTGTACAGCATTTTCACACAACTTACCAATCTATAATAAGCTAAGTAACTATTATAAACTAAAAAAATGAATCTTATTCATGCTTCACAACAAGAGTATTATTCATGCTTCTAAACTAACAAAAGTCCTCTAAACTAAGACAGCAAATTGTATTCATGCTTCTAATGTATCTTTTTTCTTTCCATACATTCTTTTCAGTTACTGTTCTCATACACCCAGTGCTGACTGCAGTGATCATAATTGTGATGAGTAGCAGTACTATTCCTTCTAACAGAGTGGCCAGCCACCCTTTTAATGACCATCCCCTTATACCTTGTCAGATTTTGTTTAGCCAGTTGCTTTTGGCTGAGTCCTTAGTAGCTTTACTGTCCTCTGCTACTTGGAGTTGCACTTTTAAATCATCTGTCATGTTTGGGATATGTATGCAGCAATGCTCATGATCTAGCTTGAGGGAGCCACACAGCCCCTGTTCCTTTGCTAACAGTAAATCTAAAGCCAATCTATTTTGTAATGTCATCTTTGTACTTTCTTGTAGTTCCTTGGTCATCAGTTGGAATCCTTTCTCAGTGGCCTTTGACAGGGTTTCTACTTGCTGGGTTAGATTTTCTATGAGCATTCTGTTTTCTAATGCCATCAAACCTGGCATCAGAAAACTCTGAATTCCCTATCCAAACTCTACAGCTGTTGTTAGACCTGTCCATGTATCTTCATCCTGACCAATATCTCTTTTCACTCTTCCCCAATATTTTGTTTCAATTGGACTTTTCTTCTATGTTGGGCAAAGGGTTAACAACCCTCTTGTCTACTAATTGGGCTTAGTTTTAATTGTGTGGTCCAAGACCCATCTGACGTTGCCCACACCGTGTGTCCTGGACGCCGTGGCCCTGCTGACAGGTAATGGACCTGATTTCATCCATGTCTGGTTTGGGCTGGCCAAGCTGGGCTGCGTGCTGGGTTTTCTCAACTTCAGCATCTATTCCAGATCCCTCTTGCACTGCGTTAACACGTGCGGCAAAAGCACTAGTGATAGAAGAAGGTGAGTTCTGTGTTGTGTTTTACTTGTTACGGACTTTCTACTGCTTTGTGCTTTTTAACAAACATAGAAAATCAGAGCCATTCAAAGCTGCAAGCACTTCATCTAGATATCCATATATGCTGTCTAAAAAGAGGAGAAAGAGTTAGCCTTGTTTAAATTTCAAGTGTACAAGCACCAAAACAATATGGAATTAATTAGTGTAATAAAGGGCTTAAATCTGAAACTCTTAAAGTACTGGACATTGTACCAGCAGAAACAATCACGGATCAGCAAGTGAACAGCCTAGGGAGAAACTTTAGCATCATCTTGTTTCCATTTCTGTTTATTGGCTTCTGTAGATGAAACTCCACTGACTACAGGAAGACTCAGATTCCCTTTGTTAGTGGAGATTTCCTTCAGCTCAAAATTTTCACATAGAAATTTATAGTTACTTTAGAACTACTTTCAAGTAGTGGTCCCAAGGCAGCATTGCTTGGAGCAAAGAGTACAGCATTGCTAGAACTTTGGACCTCTTACTGGTATAGTATGTAATGCTGGGCAATTTATTTAACCTTACTACTCCTCTTTTCCCACCTTTGACACAGACTGACCATACTTCCGTAATTCTGTACGAACCCATGAGGGTTCCTCAGTTGCTATGTGTACCAAGCTTTAAAACAAATGTTATAATACACTGATTAAATTAGTGATGACTAGATGATGATTACTAGCATCATCAAGTAAGATCAGGGAGTTTTACCTATTACAATTAAAGCTATGTGAGAAGTATAGGGAAATTAAATATCGTCTTTTTGTTTTTCACTGTCCAATAGGTGGCTTACTCCTGCGTAGAACCCGTGGTCGGTTCACTGCAGGCAGTGGTGGGGTGTATAATTCCAATGCAGGTAATCAGGTGTGTAGTTGTAATTACTTTAATAATAAGATGTGGGATCATACACACAGTTACAGTTGGAGTTTGACCTTGATGATTTAAACCTGTGTTCCTGACGAGTTGGGAAACACCGATAAAGAGGAAGAACGCTGATAGGAAAAGGGAGTGTGAGCAGCTGACATGGGGAGTGTGAGAAGCTGACACAGGGAGTGTGAGAAGCTCACATTCAGCTTAGCAGATAGAAAATGATGCTTTTTTAGGCATAGGCAATAGCAAAGCTAAAACAGGCGTGTGCACCACTGGTTGTAACCAGCCATATAACTAGGCAAAGGGCACGTGGACACATCATGGCTGGAAGAATGATCTATAAAAGCTGCTTGTAAATTGCGATAAACGTCTCTGGTGTCACATCTATGGAGTTTGTGCATTTCAGCCGCCTCAATAAGCACATAATTCTTTTAACTTGGCGGAGTGTTTGGGATCCATAGAGAAAGGGTTCGTTTTTCATCTCCTGGAAAATACTGTTGCTGTCTGGCTGACGAGCACCAGTTCTCCTTCCCAGCATGTTCACACTATACCAGACAAACTAGACAAGGTGCCAGATCACTCTGTTTCATCTCACCTTCAAGTTC